AGGAGGAAGGGGACCACCCATGGCAAGCTCGCCACGTCAACACGCAGCCAGCAGCAACAGCAGGGGGATTGGAGGGCAGAGACGTCCACACCCCCTGGTGACGAAAACAGCAAACACCCCAAACTACCAGAGGCCAGACGACACGTCTGTACCCCACGGCAGCTCCAGGTGGACTCCATATGTTCGAGTTAGTTCATTATGCAGTCCGAGGGGCTGGTGTCTAGCTGTCATTGATAGTGTCACAGGAAGGATTTCGAGTAACGTCATTGATATTTCTTTTTGTTTTGTTGTAGTAGTTAGTACTTTATTGAATAAACTAAGTTCTTATGCTCAACACTGTCTTTTCGTTACACCCCACACATTATTAATGCCCTGCAAGTGATTCTTCTCACTCGACTATTAAAATTGAGACTGATTCATGGGTTTTGGACTAAATATACGGCACCATACAACAATAAATTATTGTTGTGAGAGCCCAGGACCTACTCGCTAGATTCGCTTCGGCGAATGGCGAAGGTCGACGGCCCAAGTGGAGGGGATTTCAACTTTTTTTGAGTCTCGGCGTTTGCTCGAGCCTAGTCAATTGTTCATATCTGGTCCCAGAGTGAGGAATGAGCTGCTCACTACACTGGTGTGTTAGCTAAGCAAGTCCTTCCTCAGGCGACCTAACTGAATATCACGACAGGAATAAAGGTTAAAGAAAATTCTAGGAAATTTTCCGAGCTCAATTCCTCAACCATTTCATTATTCCACTTATCTTCAAACTCTCACAGTAGGTACAGTTTGCACGAAGGATTTATCCGCGATGATTGCACCAGGACAAATGTTGGGAGACGCGTTGATGTAGAAAATGATAAGAGGTTCAAAAGTGCCAGTTGCGTCGTACTGTAGATAGAGGAGCAGAGACGTATGTCAAAGGGAGGCAGTGGTCTCCCAGGACCCTGCCACCAGGGGGCAGTGGTCTCCCAGGACCCTGCCACCAGGGGGCAGTGGTCTCCCAGGACCCTGCCACCAGGGGGCAGTGGTCTCCCAGGACCCTGCCACCAGGGGGCAGTTGTCTCCCAGGACCCTGCCACCAGGGGGCAGTGGTCTCCCTGGACCCTGCGACCAGGGGGCAGTGGTCTCCCTGGACCCTGCCACCAGGGGGCAGTGGTCTCCCAGGACCCTGCCACCAGGGGGCAGTGGTCTCCCTGGACCCTGCCACCAGGGGGCAGTGGTCTCCCAGGACCCTGCCACCAGGGGGCAGTGGTCTCCCAGGACCCTGCCACCAGGGGGCAGTGGTCTCCCTGGACCCTGCCACCAGGGGGCAGTGGTCTCCCTGGACCCTGCCACCAGGGAGCAGTGGTCTCCCTGGACCCTGCCACCAGGGGGCAGTGGTCTCCCAGGACCCTGCCACCAGGGGGCAGTGGTCTCCCAGGACCCTGCCACCAGTCGGGAGTGGTCTCCCAGGACCCTGCCACCAGTCGGGAGTGGTCTCCCAGGACCCTGCCACCAGTCGGGAGTGGTCTCCCAGGACCCTGCCACCAGTCGGGAGTGGTCTCCCAGGACCCTGCCACCAGTCGGGAGTGGTCTCCCATGACCCTGCCACCAGGGGGCAGTGGTCTCCCATGACCCTGCCACCAGGGGGCAGTGGTCTCCCTGGACCCTGCCACCAGGGAGCAGTGGTCTCCCTGGACCCTGCCACCAGGGGGCAGTGGTCTCCCAGGACCCTGCCACCAGGAGGCAGTGGTCTCCCAGGACCCTGCCAACAGTCGGGAGTGGTCTCCCAGGACCCTGCCACCAGTCGGGAGTGGTCTCCCAGGACCCTGCCACCAGTCGGGAGTGGTCTCCCAGGACCCTGCCACCAGGTGGTAGTGGTCTCCTAGGACCCTCCCAAGCTGGTCATTCCGTCACCAACCTCAGCCAATCACCGACACCCCGTTCTGTGGCTCAGAGCTCTCAAGGCTGTTGTAAGTTATCACTCAGGCTATAGTGTCACTGTCAAAATTGTCAAAATGATGTACCACCGCGGTACATCAATAGCCACTGCTATCCTTCAGTACCGAGCTGATGCATAAATTAGATCTTTAGTAGATTATGCTGCACCTCTGCTTGCTTTAGTGCCTGAAAGAAAGCTTGGAGGGTTTGAACAATTGAAGAACGGAACGTTGAGTAATGTGCCCTCGTAATACTAAGATACTTAACGTGAGAAAGGAACTTAATATTCCGACCGTCGTTGATCGTGTTTCTCAAATTAGCTGTCAAATTGGTAGAAAAATGCTTAGGCTAACTCATCCTAACCCTTGCACAGAAACCCTCCAGAATTTCTTTATTGAAGGTGTTATAAATAATTGTGGTGTGGGGCTTCTATGGGTACTGGTACTATTAAGGGGTAAGGGTAGTTAGAAGACAGAGTATCAAATATGGGAGAGCTAAAAGGCCCGGCCCCCAAAATAAACTATCCACAGTAGTAATAACTTGCTACTAGACCATATATGTTAGTCTAAGGGTTGATCAATGCGCTCTCACATAGGAAGAAGGGATACTCTGTAATTCATGTACTTATTTATTAACCCCTTAACAACCCCCCATATACACTCACACCAATAACAATAATAATAATAACTTTACCACACTATCTTACGTTAAAAGCCTTGGTCCACTTAGGCAGGATACAAGGTTTACACTAATAACAAGCTAGGGTAAAGTACTACTGGATAAGCACTGAAGCTGGATGCAGCTTAGGGTAGAGAAACCACGTGGGACCCTAATACAAAACACAACACTTTGGGGTACCCAAAACACTGGCAAATACTACCCCCAGGTCTCACCAATCGTTACTACCAGAGTAGGTACACTTAATAATGCCCCGTACTTAACTTAAGGGTACAGGAACTTCAGGTAAGGGAAATAAGTAAGAGGAGAAGGGAGAAGATTAGGGGTGCAGCCACAGAGTAGGTCTCGTCCGCACGAACGCCAGCCAGAGAAGAGAGAGCTCCTAGCGACCAGCTGGCCTCCCTCATGTCGTGGTGCCGGAAGGAGCCTAATTGATCGTGCAGCTAAGCACATTAAAGATCTTCCCCTATGCAACGTATTGTTACTCTATGAATGATTAGAAAGTATTAGTAAGCAAAGTTGGTGCCTATGTTATTATTTAATAATCAACCCCCAGCTCAGTCTTTAAATGCTCTTTGAGAAACAATAATAGTCTTACGTCTGGCAGGGAAGATACAAACAATTGCCGTTCGAGATGCACTCAACTGTACTACTAGAAAGTTTAATAGCTCAATTTTGACCTCTGGTTTCCACTGGAGAACCCAGGGTCGTAACAGAAGGTCAACATTGTTCAAAATTAATAACTAAAACTGTAACTGAACTCAGAAGGTATCAGATATATAATTTGTACCAAGAGGGACATTAACGGCACTTTCCTGTACCGTGGGAGATTACACCCTTTCCAATTTTAATCCCTCCCTTTCCATCCAAGAAGCAAATTAGACATAAGCCAAAGCATCGTCTTGAAGCAAAGTTCAACGCCTTAAGCCATATTGATGCTCTGTCCACAGAGCATTCTCTCTCTCTCTCAAACTATATACACTGATCCCTACACCGCCCCACGGGTGCAGCTGGAAGTACAGTTGTCCTGACATTGGGAGATAGCTTATATTTTGAGTGGGGAGTCCGTATAAACAACTGGGCCCCTACCCTTCAGACCGAACTATTTGCCTTGCTTCTTTCATTGAAATGTGTACAGGTTTTCGAACTTGATACAGTAATTGTAAGTGATTCTTTATCATCCTTAATTAAACTCAACTCTTTAAGACATAACTGTAATATGCTCGTGTCTGAAGCTAGACACAAATACAGCAAAATTATTAATGATGGTAACAGAGTTCCTTTCATGTGGATTCCATCTCATGTTGATCTTCGAATGCATGATAGATCTGATGAGTTAGCCAAAGAATCTGTCTTTAAGACGAAATTTAGTATAACCTTGGATTGTCTCTAAACAGTCTGAGAGCAATAGTACACCAAGAACTTAAACAAAATCTTGTAGATCTGAGGCAAAGTGAAATTGACACCAGTAATTCCATCTATCATCATATTATCATGCAAGAAGAGCCACACATCTATGGTTCATCCAATAAAATCAGAGGACTCCTAGATGTTACTACTGCTCGGCAATAAGTATCTGGTAATTCGCCTTAATTCAAGAGATGTGTAATTATTTCATTCAAAATTATCTGCTATCAGAAATATCTCCAGTTTGCTAACTGTAGGCAGTAACTAAGTGATTGTAACCTATCCACCGCTGCCCACTGGATGGGAATTAACTCTGTTGCATTTATTACAGTTCCAATTATAACGTAAAAATTTTAAATTTATTAATTTCTTTTTGTAATTCATAAATGTGTTTTGTCTCATTTAGTTTTAAGAGTTACTCCACTGAGTTTATCTAATGTTTACCAATTTGTTTCCACATTATGCCCGAAACGCTCTGCATATTAGTGGCTTTAGGCAATATTGTTGTCTTACCTAGGAGTTCTCCACAGTTCTTGTATCCTATTTATATTAGTATGTTTGTCTAAATACATAAATATTATTATTTAATTAAACTGTGATTTGGTTCCGAGATCATTATGTTATATCATATTAGATCTTATGTTATATCATAATATATGAGAGTTTAGTTATCGTACAGTAGACAAACCACTGAACCCAACATGTGATGTTATCATTAGCCAGTTATATAATCTTGTTACCCCTCATACACCAGATACAACAGCACACTATATAGATATATCACCATCATACTGTATAGAATATATGTCACTATACACCACACTAAATATAACAATATAGAATACTGTTATCATAGGTGGATTTTTTCTCTCATGTTGAAGCCAAGACCTAAGTAACTAGCTAACAGTAGTGGCTGGAGGGTGTTAGCGCATGGGAGGGGGAAGGGGAGGAGGAGGGTGTACCACTGGGCGCGAGGTTATATAAGCCAGCATGGTGAACCTGGCGGACAGTAGTCGCAGAAGGTGCTGGATAGAGGGTCGTGCTTCCCTGATACAGCGTTATTGTTGCAGTTATGGCGGCGAAGCTGATGTTCTTGGTTGTTCTACTGACACCTGTAGGCAGTAGCCTGGCAGCGGTCTCTCTCGCCGAAGCTGAACTTGATCCAAGTAAGAATGTAACGAGGTCATCACGGTGTCGCCTGTTAAAATTGGGCTCTACATTTGTATAGTTAATGTGACGGGTTACACCTAAATATTACTTCGCTCTGAGATGAGATTCAAATTTTCAGGTAACCCAGATCGGTGTACGTATAAGGGCGTGGGATATTCCTTCAAGGAAGAAAAGAGTATTCCTCGACGTTGTGAAGTAGGAAAGTGTATATCTTCCGGTGGTAAAACATACGTACAATTCGCATCGTAAGTAAGCCAGTTTCTCGCATATATGGACTAAAAACTAACTTTTAAAGTAAAATGCTATTTATACTTGCTCGTACTTAGGTGCGGTGTGATAGGGGTACAAAATGGATGCCGCCTGAGCAAAGAAGACTTGACCAAACGTTACCCTGCCTGCTGCCCTCGTCAGATATGCTGATGACTACTTCTTGTTGACTGCCTGCTGTTTGTACTTTATCATAAGCTTGCTTCCTCCACCCCTTGTGTATTTACTCTACACTCCTATAGTCCTAATTTTTAGTATAGATTATCTTTAAGAACTCCTCAATGTAGTCTAGGTGTTAAGCGCTGGAGGTGACTTGTTAAAATATTAAAGAAATTAATGCAATTTATTACTTTCCATATACCTATAATAAGGATAAAACGGTGTCGGAACCATTTTAAGCTCAAATTTAGACAATTTTAGACTGTAAGTCTTGTAGCGAGTAGATTATCCCAATAATATACTCGCTCCAAATAGTGTTAATATTCCTGTCAACCTTTGGAGATGAATGAGGTGAGGCGTTGCCCGGGCAGCACGGTGAGGTGTTGCCCGAGCAATATAAGCGGCAAGAATATCAAACATTAACTAGTCTACTTTCAAGTGTGGTCTAGAGCAGACACTTGCGAGATACTGTACCAACGCTCAGTGCGCTCAACTCACACCAACGTATCACCTGTGTACTTCTGTATATTCGACCAAATATATATATAGTATCTTAGTGTCTGTGTTTGTCACCATACTTTACGTAACAATAGAACCGTTACAGTCTTTAACATGTAACTTCTCTCCCCAGCAACTCCACTTTAGAACACCCTCTGTCCCCCCCCCCCCAATTCTTTACCAAGGTTTAACTATCTTGGTTTGAAAATTCAAAGCATTGGTGTTCCCCTACAGCCCTTTGATCAGGCCTTTAGTTGGATTGATCAGCTAGGTTGTTCGTTGCGGCTGCTCTCAACCTGGTAAGAGGTTGGTTTGAAAAGTGTAGTGGTTTTTATTTATTATTAGCATAACTTGTAAAGTTTTGGCTAAGGACTTTAGGCTTAGAATATTGTGCACATCTTGCTATGGCGTATAGTTTTTATGCAGGTTTGGAACCGGTACTTGTAAAAAAAATTATTGTGCAAAATTATTAATACCTTCTGCCTGTGCTTTAGGGAAGTTTTAAAACTTTTAAGCGGTTACACTAATTTTAGTTTTGGTCATGTTCTAGTAGTAAACATCTTGTATGCTTTCAATGTTCGTTTCTCTTGCTTCCAATGGCGCTGTAAGCATGTTAAAATATTCCACCCCTAGAGCATTAATTTAATGTCGCAACTAGTATGCCTTTTGTAACGGTCTAGTTATCCAACTTGCCCTATATCTTGCAGGTTTGACAACTGGATTATCTTTTGAATGAAAGGTGTATAGGATTGAGGGTAATAATATCGGTGTACTGTCTTGCTAAGCTAACGCAGTTTCGAGTAGACACTAAATGATTTTTATTCATTAAAATGTGTTCAGCCATGACTACAAAACCTTCTTGCCTTCTTTTTTATAGTGTAGTTTTACAAAGTTTGTGTAGCTAATTTTTATATTTACACCTTTACATAGGACACTAACTGGCACTTACTCCTATGAGTTATTGTGACCCATTTCGAAGTTCCGTTTAAAAAGAGATTGAAGGTTTGCCGTCCTATTGTCTACTTGTGAAATTCAAAGTGCAATCTGTAAGAGATGCTGTACTTTGCATAGTATTTCTGCTTTTGATTTTTCTCTAGAAAAATTTGATTTTACTAGTGTTGTCCATACATATTAAAGCCTTCAACAAAGAACATAAAGTTAGGATTGGCACTGCAGATCTGTTTTCAAAACATCATTAGATTGTCATTACAGATGAGTATGCAGGCTTGATATTTAGCATATTTAAAGATTTGCATACAAGAGCAGAGTAGTGTTTGAGACAAATTTGTCCTGATTGTCATTGAGTAAGGGTGGTTGATCCCCAGGCAGATACTACAATAGATATGGATAAGAGTGAAATAGTTACGTATGCAAAACTAGGTGTGTAGTATGTGATATTGGAGAATACCTATTATCACCTCCGTGGTGCCTCCATGCCGTGGTGAGGGGCTCGCGTACACCTCCCTGGGACCGGTGTGGGTTGCCTGTGCCCCCTCTCCTGCCCCCTCTTTGGGTGGTATACGTGCTGAAGGGCACCACGTAGGGGCCTTCAGCCATCGGACCACCCGCTGGAGGGGTCGCCTGTGAGAGGCCGCCCCGAGTGGATGGTTGGGTGTCCAGGCTGGGGTGATAGGGGGACTGGGGTCTTAGCACCAGTGTGGGAGAATGAACGAAGTAGGACTCCACTGTTGAAATGGGGGACCACCGCTGGGGACAACACACCCTTCCTGCACTGGCCCGCGCTCGGCTGCCCTAGTAGGTGGTATCCCTTGTTTCCCGGTCCCATCCCTTATATATTAGTTTGCTGTATGGATTACGACTTGACTTCTCTTACCCAGGCTCATGATGGGCGACCAGGCCCCTGAGTCGGACCGTCCTGGAAGACTGCAATCTGTAGCCTCCGCTACAGGACCCGGTTTAGGCCCAGACCGGACTCTTCCTCCCTGCTCCCCTCCCTCCTCTGTGGTTGGGTAGAGCCTCAAGCCTGCTGTGGTGACTGTCTCGTTCCCTTGCACGGCTCCATCTCTTCTTGCGACTACTGCACCTTTCGACCCGTCTCTCTCTCTCTATGGGTTCTCATCGCCGTCCCCGCCACGGCCGCTCTCGTATGCTCCCTTCCCATCCAACTTCGTTCCATGCTTTGTTTGGTCCTGCTACATGGACTAAGTACTTTGACCTCCAACCTTTGGATTAAACTCCTAGCAATTTTTCCCTTCGTAGGCATCTTGTCGATTCCGTGGATGCCTCTATCAACTTTAACCCCACCCGTCTTGGTACCCGTGTCGTTGCTGCTCCTTCTCAGGATGCGGCCACTCGCTTGGCCGCCTTATCCTGCCTTGGCGAGACCCCTGTTCGGGTCTTGAAGAACGCTCGGTTAAATGCCAGTGTTGGCACTGTTCTCCTCCCGCACCATATTGCAACTGGTGTTAGGGATCTCGAGGACTGCCGCGAGGATATCAAGCATATCCTCGAGGCCCAGGGTCATTCTGTCCTCCAGGTGGATAAATTTACTCGTCCCCCTCGTGGTCATCGCAGTCTACCCTTTCGGGTTGCGAAGGTTACCTTTGACGGGGCAGAAGGGTCCTACCATCATTCTTGCTGGTGCCAGATGCTCCGTTCAAGAATATATTCCATCTCCTCGGCTCTGCAGTAAGTGCTGGAGGTTTGGGCATGGTGCCCTCAAATGCTCTAGTCCTGTCTCTCTCTGTTCCCTGTGTGGAAGTGAGGGTCACTCTAAGTTGGAGTGCACTTCTCCCCAGGCCTGCTGCCTAAACTGCAGTGAGGCCCACCGTACCTTCTCCCATGTGTGTATTCGTTACAAACTTGAGGCGGCTGTCCTCAACTTGAAGCATCGGGACCGTTTGTCTTTTCCCGAGACTCTGCGCCAAGTTCATCGTCTCCCCTCTTTCGCTGGTGTCTCCTATGCTCACGTGGTGCATTCTTGGTCTCCTCGTCCTTCCCGCCTTCATCAGTCTCACAACCTTTTCAGAGCCTTGGACCCGGACACGCCCACCATCACCGCCCGTTTCCCTCCGTTCTGTTCCGAAGGGTCCCCCTCCTGGTTCTGTCAAGGGCTCCCCTTCTTTCTACCCAGTCTGTCATGTCTTCTTTTGCCTCTCGCTCTAGTCCTCCTTCCCGTCATTCTCGTCCGTCTCTTGGCTCTCCACGCCGCCTGACTTGCGGCCGACGTCCATCGCTCTCCTGATGGTTGTTGTTCGCTCTTGTCCTATCGAGACGCTGGAGTCTGTTGCCCAGTACATTGCTGCTGGGACGCCCGTATCTTGGAGTCGGAAGCGGAAACCTGGCTTCTCTCCTTTCTCCTCCCCTGTCGGTAAGAAGGCTTTGCTTTCTTCTTTACCCCCTATCTCTGATTCTATCGTTCCTTCCCCTTCTGCTTCGGTGGTGGAGCCCCTGTTCCTACTGTAGGGGTTTCTTTACCTCCCGGTTCCATCTCGGTTACTGCCCTTGCTGAGGTGCGCTCCCTTCTTTCTGCCCCCTCCTCCCCTTCCTCCAGACCCTGCTCGTCCACCTCTGGTCTGTCCTGCTTCTTTACCTCCTTTACTCGGTTTACCCATGCCCCCTGACTTCGCTGACCCTGATCCTGACTGTGCTTTTTTTTTTTTTTGGCGTGCTGTGTTCCTTCACCTTTTTCTTTGCTCTGTTGCTCTCCTCTCTCTTTGCTGATGTCTTTTCTTCAATGGAATATCCGTGGATTTTACGCAAATTTCCTTTGCCTCCAACTTCTCATTTCAGTTTTCGCCCCTTTGTCTCTCTCCAGGAGCCGATGCTTGCTCGTCCTGGTCGCTTCCGTGGCTAATCTTTTCTCCCCCACCCCCATGTCGCTGGAGTCCATAATTTTCTGCTCTCTTGATTCGCTCAGATGTTCCCTTTGTCCTCTTACTTTTTTTCTCCACTGTTCTGCCGCCCATGTCTTTTTGCGTAGATGGTACACGGTTTCTCACATTTCTCTCCCCCCCACTTTCTCTTTCCGATCTTAAACAACACCTAGACTCCTTGCCGGAGCCTGTGCTCCTGCTGGGTGAATTCAATTGCCGTCATGCCCTCTGGGATGTGCTGACAAACACCCGGGGTCGCCTCCTTGAACCTTTCATCCTCTCTTCTTCTCTGTCCCTTCTTAATTCTGGTGAGCCCACTCATTTGAACTCAGACTCGCTCCCTTTCTTGTCTCGATCTTTGTGCTCGTCATACCTTTCCTTAGATTTCGGGTGGTGGGTCCTTGATGACCTCCATGGCAGTGACCATTTTCCTATCCTTGTTTCTTTTCTCTTTTCGCCCTCCTCTCTTCTTCCCTAGGTGACAGTTTGCCGAGGCTGACTGGCGCCTCTTTATTCTCCGTGCTACTATTTCCGACCTCTCCATCCTGTCTCTTTCGCGCCCTCCTTCTTTTTTATGACACTGTGTTTGACGCTGCCCTCCACTCTATTCCTCGCTGTTCCTCTCTGGGGAACGCGGAAGTGCGTTCCCTGGTGGAATATGGACTGTGCTCAGGCTGTCAGCTATAAGCGTGCAGCCTGGAAGAGACATTGCCACCGGCAGACAGTCGAGTCTTTTCTTTTGTTTCGGAAGGAGAGTGCAGTGGCCCGTAGGACCATCCGTGCGGCTAAACGTGCTTGCTGGGAGTCTTGTCTCAACCGTTATGTCTGAAACTCCTCTCCTACTGGTCT